GCAGCCAATCAAGGCTCACCTATGAAAGTCCTTATAATGCCAGATGGTAGTGGTGCATGCCTTTAATCCCAGCACTCTGATGATAGTGTGTGTGTGTGTGTGTTTTAATATGTTTTGCCTGCATGCATATATGTGCACTATTTGTGTGCCCAGTGCCCTTGGAGGTCAGAGGATGTCAGATCACCTGAAACCAGCGTTACTGACAGCTGCGAGCGAGCTGCCATGGGGGTGCTGGGAATCCAACCCAGGTCCTTTGGAAGAGAAGTAAGTGCTCTTAACCGCTAAGCTTCAGCAGCTAGCACCCCTGCTATTTTTTGAGGAAGAAAAAAATGAAATCCCCTCAGGGAGTGACCAGTCACTGTATTTCCTGCACAAACATCAGTACCTCCCAGGAAGCCGTTGGATTGAGTCTTTGAAGATGAAATGTGCACCTGCGTATGTCTGTGTACATCCCACAGAATCACGTATTTTTCTAAGTGGGGGCGGGGATGGGGGTGGGGAGACTACCGTGGAAAAGGCAGACTTATTCCTGGGAGGCCTTTTAACTATAAAACCCACGGACTCAGGACAGCCCAGTGTTGACAGTCCTCATGCATGGTGACCTTGGTGGGGAGGATCATGGGAGACTAGTCACACTCCCTTTGGTTTTTTTTGATGTCCTAATTCTTCAATTTGCTGTGGGTGGAGATGTTCCAAGCGCTTTCTACCTCACTGTCACCAGCTTCTTGTGAGTCACTGGCAGCCCTTTCTACACCACCCCTCCAGCAGGGCAGAGGATCTTGCAGAGGATGCTTTTCCTCCTGTGGGTGCCATGGTAACGGGAGAGCCGCTCTCAGTAGCCTGCTCAGCTCACCAGTGCATAGAAGAGGATGACGGGTGTGTGTGTGTGTGTGTGTGTGTGTGTGTGTGTGTGTGTGTGTGAACTTCACTGCTAAGATCTGAGGGCCCACAAAACATCCATTTCAGGCCTCTTTCTGCATTATAATATGAAAGGAAAATTACTATTCACAGAGACATTATTTTGGCTTCTATGCTTTTTCTCCTCTGTGAAACTTTAAGTGGCCAACATGAGAGAATTTTCTGTTCCCCTTCCTTTTCGTTTCTATTCCTTCACCCTCCCTCCCTCCTTTCTGTCCTCCCTCTCTTTCCTTTTCCCCCTTCCTTCTTTCCTTCCTTTCTTCCTGAGCCCTGTTTGCTTTTGCAGTGCTAGGGTTCAAATCCCGGGCCCTGCACATGCCAGGTAAGCCCTCTACTACCAAGGAGTATCCCTTGATACCTGAAGGAATTCCTTTTTTGTAGAAAAAAATAGTTTTATTTGTTTTGTGTTACATGGGTTTTTTGCCTGTGTGTGTGTGTGTGTGTGTATACCTAATGCCCTTGGAAATCAGAGAAGGGCATAAGATCCATTGGATTTGCAGTTATGCATGCATGTAAATCATCCACCTCCTGGGTGCTGGGAACTGAACCTGGGTCTTTTGTAAAAGTCAGTGCTCTTAACCTCTCAGCCATCTCTCTACCTTCCTGAAAGATGCCCCTACCCCGAAAGGTTTTCTCTGTGTAACAGCCTTGGCTGTCCTGAAACTCGATTTGTAGACCCAGCTGGCCTTGAACTCACAGAGATCCACCTGCCTCTGCCTCCCAAGTATTGGGATTGAAGGCATGTGCCACCACCGCCTGACTGAAAGAATTTCTTATTCCAAAAATAAATGAATAAATAAACCTGGAGCTGTTTGGACTAGTGCAGTAATGTGGGTCCTGCCATTTAACCACTATATTCAGAACACCTACTTTGTACCGGGCACCAGATACAGCAAACACTCCGAAGGTGGAGAGATGTTTGTGATCACTTATTTCAGATGTCAGCTTAACCGAGCCTCAGGTGCCAGATCTCTGGACAAACACGATTGTGGGTGTTTCTACGTCAGTGTTTCAGGATGAGGTTACTATTAACTCAGGATACTGGGGAAATGGGTTGGGCTTCCCCATTGTAGGTTGACTTCATCCCCTCTGCTCAGCAAAGTATCATGGTTGTTCAACAAACAGATAAATGATTTTCTACTTTGGAAATACAAATCAGATTCCACTGAGATACTATCCATCATCATCAAGAGACAGATATAGATAGATATAGATATCCTGAAGAAGATATGTACACACACACACACACACACACACAGACACACACACACTTCTTGCTGGAGAACATACATACCCTTGGTGGTATATAAATTGTGAGAAACACTTAGGGAAACTGTCGGTGATATCAGGAAGGGTTGTGTACCCCCAGTAACCCATCCTTGGCATAAGTATTCAAGAGGCAACCCCTAGTGTATGCATCAGAAGACAGGCTCTCATAGCAGCTTTTTTTTTTTTTAATAAAAAGCTGGAAACAAAGTGAATTCCCAGCAACAGATGAGGAATTCTGTGCTGTCAATTGTACTTTTTCATTTGCTTGTTTTTGTTTAATTTTAAAGTTCTGCTACGTAGTCCTGGCTAGCATGGAACTTACTGTAGCAGCCAGGCTGGCCTTGAACTCATGGCAATCTCCCTTTTCAACCTTCCAAGTGTCTGGTACTATAGGTATGTCCACTATACCCCCCCCGTGTTTTATTTTGTTTTTTGTTGTTGTTGTTGTTGTTGTTGTTTTACAAACAGGGTTTCTCTATATTGTTTTGGAGGCTGTCCTGGAACTGGATCTGTAGACCAGGCTGGCCTCGAACTCACAGAGATGCATGTTTCTGCCTCCCGAGTGCGTGGATTAAAGGCATGAGCCACCAACACCTTCGGCTTATTTTTTTTTTATGTCTTAGAAAGAGTTTCATGTATCCCAGGCTGGCCTCAAACTCACTACGTAGCCAATGATAAACTTGAACTTCCAGTCCTGCCTTTGTCTTCTGAGTACTGGGGTTACAAGTGTGTGTCAGGCACAGCTTATGTGATAATGGGATCAAACCCAGGATTTCATGTATGCTAGTATTCCTTTTATGGGACTGGAGTCTACTCCTGAAGCAAGGGTAGTGTTATTACACTGAGGACACTCACGCTCTCTCCAGGTCACTTTGGTGGACTCACAGGACTACAGTTATAGGCAGTTGTGAGCTGCCATGTGGGTACTGGGACTTGAACCCAGGACCTCTGGAAGAGCAGCCAGTGTTCTTAACTGCTGAGCCATTTCTCCAGCCCATCTGTGTTCTTTCATTGAAGAGCTTTTGTTGTCATATCCAAGAATCATTGCTTAAACAAGATAAATCTCATCTGTGTTTTCTTTAGAGAGTATTACAGTTTTGCCTGTTGCATTTAATTCTCACAATTGCCTATTACTGTAGTCCTGTGAGATCCGATACCCTCTTCCGGTGTGCAGATGCATGTGAAGACAAATCACTCATATACATAAAATAAATAAATCTTTTTTTTTTTTGGTTTTTCAAGACAGGGTTTCACTGTGGCTTTGGAGGCTGTCCTGGAACTAGCTCTTGTAGACCAGGCTGGCCTCGAAAAATAAATAAATCTTAAAAGGAAAGACAGATAATTCACAATTTTCTTTCTTTAAAACACTTTTTAAACAAGCTTAGCTTTAATTTATTAGAACTTTTTAATTAATTAGAAAATTTAGTGATGATTTTTAAAAGCAGAGTTTCTATTAAATTAACAATTCTTCAGGGTAAAAATACATTTAAAAAACTAAGGCAGAAGTAAAACATTAAAAAAAACCCACCCCTGCATGTCTAATAAAGACTGTAGAATGTCACAATGTAGAGGGTCTAGAGATTCACATAGTATTTTATAGCAATAAAATGTTAATAAAATCAGAACTATCATCAATTGGTCCAAGATTCCTCAATTTATAAAATGTTCAGTCTGCTAATTGAAAATTTTCCACCCATTTTTTATTCTTTGGGAACGTCACATCATGCACCCCAATCCCGCTCATTTCCCAGTCCCTTCGTATCTACCCTTCAATTTTGTAACCTCCCTCAAAAGAAAATAGAAAAAAAGTCTCACCGTGGAGGCTGCGGGGTGTCATGGTGTCACTTAGTCTGCCCTTTTGTCCAACCAGCTTTACCGGTAAATGCTCTTTGCAATGAGTCATTGGTCCGGTTCCAGGCCTCTCTGTTCTGCTACTCCATCAATATGGAAACCTCACAGAGATTCCTCTGCTGTCCTGAGTCCTGGAGGTCCTGCAGCTTTGGTTCTGCAGGACCGCCCCTTCATATGCTCCAGTAGTTCATGGATGAGGTAATTATTGGGCTGGGCAAACACAAAACCCTGGTTCTGGGCCTGGGTGGTAGCTGAGTTGGTCAGCTCTCCTTCATCCCCACCACCAGGGCCAGCTAACTAAGTTTTCTGTTGTGTAAGGACAGTTACCATACAACAAAGTGGCTATTCTTATGACAATGGGCTGGGCAGGTAACTTTATAGTTCTACAATATTAAGTAATACAAAGGCATTTGTAGACTCAGCTTCCCGTGCTAGTACCCATGCATGCCCATCACTCCCTTTAATCCCAGTACTCTGGGGGCAGAGGCAGGTGGATCTCTACAAATTCAAGGCCAGCCTGGTCTACATAGTGAGCTCAAGGACAGCCAGGACTACAGAGAGAAACTCTTAAGTTTTTATTATTAAAAAAACATTGCTTTGTTTTTTGAGACAGGGCTTCTCTGTGTAACCCTGGTTGTCCTGGAACTCACTCTATAGATCAGGCTGGCCTCAAATTTACAGAGTTCCACTTGCCTCTACCTCTCCAGTGCTGGAATCAAAGGTGAGAGCCACCACTGCCAATGGGTTTGTTTCCTCCCTCCCTCCCTCCCTCCCTCCCTCCCTCCCTCCCTCCCTCCCTCCCTCCCTCCCTCCCTCCCTCCCTCTCTCCCTCCCCCTTCCTCTCTTTCCCCCTTCCTCCCATCTTTCCTCCCTCCAGGTTTTCTCTGTGTAGTCCTGACATTAAAGAGCCACCAAGCCCAGGTAAAAATGATCCCTTCTAAAGGATGTAGATGTGCCATAACTTCCTTTATCAAACCACAGCAGGGAACAATTTTGATTTATTTTTTCTCGTGCTTTTCTCTAGATAAGGCGTACAGTGTGGATTAAAGATGGTTTATGGCCTGTTGATGTTGGATGATTTCACCGTGGCACCAGATGGGCCACCCAGCCTCAGTCTCTGCCAGTCACTGTGCCCTGCCACCCCAACCCCGCCTGTGACCTGTGTTACCATCGAAGAGCAGTGTGGACCTTCCTTTCACTCGAGTTTCTCAGCACACAGGAAGGAGCAGTTAAACACTCAGCGACCAAAAGCCGCAGTGAGGTGTGACGTGGATCCTCCCACAGCTAGCCAAGTGCAGCAAAATCTGCATGGGACAGAGGCAGATGCAAATTTGAGAGCAATTCCACGCATTAATTCATTCAACAAGAACTTACTAAGCAACTACTAGGCCCCAAATTATCCATGGCAGTGCATGAAAATCAATAGAGCAAGAAATTAAAAATACAAGATGTTGAACGGTGTTTCAGAAAGGAAGGAAAAACAGGAGAGAGACTGACAAAGATGAGCTGTTGGTGAGGCTTCTGGAAAAAGACAATAAACAATTACAGAGAACCTTCTTGGGGCAGACCTGCTGTGCTGCAACTTTAATTCAGCCAGGGCAACTGCAAACATCAGGAACACACGGGGGCGCAGAGGTGGAGCATCATGAACTTCAGGTCCTGGCCCCGCCCCCAGTGCCAAGTCACGCCCATTTTATCGGTGTCTCAACCCTCCCCTTTCCCCCCCTCCACTCAGCTAGGTCTCGGTTGTCTCTGAGCAGAGTAAGGTGGGCGCGGTTGTGCGCAGGCGCAAAGCACGGAGTGCGCAGCCGCAGTTCACAGCGCATTGCTCAGGGCGACGTGGCGGGCGGGAGTACGGAAGCCGCTGGGAGAAGCTGCTCTCACTGCTGCTCTGAGCATCTCCCTGCTACGTGGACTTTCCCCTGGCACCATGTTGAAGAAATTCGACAAGAAGGACGAGGAGTCGGGTGAGGGACCCTTGAAAGCCTGGGGAGGCCGGATCCTCGCACAGATTCTTGGGACCTTCCTGGGTGCCCTTCTTCCGGGCCTCTGTCAGAACCAGAGCCGAGGACCAAAAGGGCAGGGGCTTGTGCGCAGGTCCATAGCTGTGCTCGGAGGGGACACGCTGTTCTCACTCGCCAGCTCTGGACAGGATTGCTGCGTGACCTTGTGCGAGTCACGCTCTTCTCTGGGCCTCAGTTTCCCCATCTTATTAGAGGAGGGGTGCAGGCTGGATGCTCTCCTGTATTCACATCCGACTTCTTGGTATTTACCAGAGCTGCGTTGGTACCAGCCAGTCCTGCAGCTAAGAACCCTGTTTCATTCATTCAGTAAACCACATATACGTAACATCAGGTGCCTCTCGGATCCTGATGCTGCTGTAGCTAAAACCAGTGGGACACTCAATGCCTGTAGTAGGAATATTATAATGGTCATGTAGTGGAGGGACCAGACAGCAACCAGATAATCACACACGTAATTAATTATAAGTGTAACATCTGCTGTCAGGGACATTCAAGTCACAGGTTAGTTAGTGTTGGTTTTCACTGGCACATAGACTCTGGTTGCATGTATGAATGGAAACTGTGGCATCGTGAGAGGCACAGAAACGGTTCTGGTTGTCTGTGAGCAAATGGTCTGGGGAAGAGGGGATTCCCTTAACAAGATTTACAGACAGGGGAACCTCAGCTACCACTGGTAGATGAGAGAGACTTCTTCCCCTTCCCTGTGTTTGGCAGTCTTGGAATTGAGGGCCAGGGTTTGGGGATATACCACAGTTGGTCGAGTGCTTGCCTAGCATGCATGAAGCCCTGTGTTTGATCCACAGCATCACTTAAACCAGGAGGTGGAGGCAGGAAGATCAGAAACTCAAGATGGTCCTCCACTACGTTCCAAGTTCAAGGCCAGCATGAGACTCTGTCTCAAAATTAAGAAAAAGGAAAGAAAATAATTCAGGATCGCAACCTGTAATCAGTCTTCTCTGTTCACTGTAGGTGGAGGCTCCAACCCCCTCCAGCACCTGGAGAAGAGTGCTGTACTCCAAGAGGCAAGTTCTGTCATACCTGTACCATCTGGTCAGGAATACCTGCCATGCTGTCAGAATCGTAGCATATGGAGAGAGTGCTGGTTGTTCATTTTATTTCTAAGTATCCATAGTCAGTAAGGCAGCACAAGCAAAGATCGTAGGTATGGTTAGTAGATGAGTTAAGACAAACTCCGGGCTGGAGAGATAGCTCAGTGGTTAAGAGCATGGGCTCCTCTTCTAGAAGACCTAGGTTCAGTTCCCAGCACCCAGCTCACACCTGTCTGTAACTCCAGTTCCAGGGCTTCTGACACCTCACACAGACACACATGCAGGCACAGCACCAATGTACATAAAATGAATTAGAAAGGAAGAAAAGTAAAGTGTTACCACTTTGGAACACATTTATCTGGACTAATAAGTTATTAATATGCACCCTGTGGTTCTCCAGGCCCTTCCTGAACTGAGGGTTGGCTATGGAAGGGAAGTGTACTAGGCTGGAGGTAACGGTTGCTTCTTCACAGGCTCGGGTCTTTAATGAAACACCTATCAACCCTCGAAAATGTGCCCACATCCTCACCAAGATCCTTTATCTCATAAATCAGGTAACAAGATGAGGGTGGCAGGGAATACTGGGTGTGTATGTGCATGTGTGTGTAAATGGGGATGTACCCTTAAGCTTTTCACGACTCTGGTTGGAACCAACAGTCCAGTCCTGGGTCCTCTGAGTTTCTAGCTCTCACTTACTGCCTGGAGTCCCTGCAGGCTCTGAAGGTCTACCCTGGCTGATCTCCTGTTCCAAACTGACACTTCTTTTATGATAACCACAGGGGGAGCACCTGGGGACCACAGAAGCCACCGAGGCTTTCTTTGCGATGACCAAGCTCTTTCAGTCCAATGATGTAAGTACTTCAACCCCTGCTTTTCTGGAGATGTGAGACCTGTGACAGTAAGCTGGTAGGACTACCTGTCAGCATGGACTGCCTTCCACAGACGGCAGGCTTCTCCTTGCCCTGGGCCTCTCTCACGGAGCCCGATTGATAGGGCTTTCTCTCTGTCTTTTCAGCCCACGCTGCGCCGCATGTGCTACTTGACTATCAAGGAGATGTCTTGCATCGCAGAGGATGTCATCATTGTGACCAGCAGGCAAGACTTGGGCAGGGGATGGCTCCTCTGATGGGATACATTGACAGAGGCAACATGTACAGCAAAGGGAGTTTGGGCATATGGTCAGTGCCCTCTCCTAGGCCCACCCCATGCCAGCCAGCATCTAGAGTATTCTGCTTCCTTCTCACTTCTCTGGCCCTGCTCTCCTTAGACAATACAGCCAGCGGGGAACTTTCAGAAAGTCTTCAATGAGTGCTAAGGAAAAGAAAAACAGAGTGCAAGGAGTTTATGAAGAAGTCTGGTTGCTAATTACTGGTGTCTGCATTAGGCTGAGTAATTTAGGGACATATGCCACTAATACAAATGTCCTTGAGAACTGAGAGTCAAACCTGGACAGTATTGTTCACACTTGTACTCCCAGCACTTGGCAGAAACAGGAGGATTGCTGCTAGTGAAAAAACAAACAACAAAAACCCTGAGGCGCTGTTTTGTTATTATTATTATTTATTTATTTTTGCAAGTTTATGTGCATTGGTGTTTTGACATGGGTCTCGGGTCCCCTGGAACTGGAATTACAGACATTTGTGAGCTGCCATGTGGTTCTTGGAATTGAACCCAGGACCTCTGGAAGAACAAGCAGTGCTCTTAACCACTGAGCCAACTCTCCAGTCCCTTCTTATTTCTTCTTGACACTGTTATGCAAGGAGGGGTCCATACAACCATATTCAGGTGCATTATGATGCTATTTACTGGGGCAGGAGAGATGGCTCAGTGGTTAAGAGCACTTGCTCCCTTCCCAGAGGATCTGATTTGGTTCCCAGAACCCACATCAGGAGGTTTAAAACTATCTACTACTCCAGCGTCAGAGGAATCTGATGCAGTGGAGGACACCCGCACTCATTTACACACAATCCCATGCAGACACAGATACCTACACGTTACTAAAACTAATAAAAATAAATCTTAAAAAAATTTTAGAAAGATGATGCTGAATGTATATTAGTCCGGGTATAGTTCTGGGATTATAATAGCAAACAAGAGAGTCGTGGTACCCTGTGACAAAACTTTTTCTGGGGAGGCAAAACACACATGTCTAGTCACTTAAGATAGAGAACCCACAACAAACCAAAGTTGAATTTGGTGAACCGATGTGTTTTATTGGGGTTGCTTACAGTAATATGGGTGAGGGTCACTCACAGGAGCAGAAATGACTCAAGGACAGCTGCCTCACCAAATGCTACCCCAGCATGGGTGACAGCTCACAAAGCTGGGAACCTAGAGCACACGGCACAGCCTGTAGGCAGTTCAACAGGTTGGAGAGTGTTTTCCAGGTGCCTCAACTGGCCTAAACCTACTCCTGGCAGTTTGGCTGGTGTCTGCTTCTTCCAGGCAGCTGGTCTGCTCTGAGAATCTGCTGCAAAGCTCAGCTCTTGGTCCAAGAGGGAAGCTCAGCTTTTATTGTTTACTATGGCAGGGTGGGGCCTAGTGAATCTGGTCAGATTCAGGGACTTCCTGAAGGTATTTTGAGTTGTTTACCTTCCTGCTTAAGAAACTTCCCTGAAGGATGGAATGTTTCAATATTGGAGGAAACTTATGCAAAACATAAGGATCTACACACAAATAGCAGGCTTATGGAATTGTAATGGGCTGTGTGAACAGAACAGGGGGACACCAGCTTGGCTTTGGACCAGAAAAGGCCTCCAGAATGTCTGGATTCTGAAGGAGTGAGGCCCAGGCTGAACAACCACATGTGGAAAGGCCTGAGAGGGGAGGACAGCTCACTGAGAAGCTGCTCGATTTGATGCCTTGGGAAGCCTTGAGCTCATGGTGATCGACCTGCCTGTACTTCCGGAGTGCTGGGATTACAAGTGTGTACCACCATGCCCAGCTCTGTTTTGAGTTCTGTAAATCTCCCTGGAGCTGTTGTTTGGTTAGAGCTTGTCTTGGAGGAGTGAGAACAGAAGGGAGCAGTACTTAGGAGGCTGGTGTGGTAAATCCAGACAGGGGTGGTGTGGACTAGAAGAGAGGATGGCCTGGGACCCCACGTGTCAACAGTGTCTCCTTTCCCCACCAGCCTGACAAAAGACATGACCGGGAAAGAAGATAATTACCGTGGTCCTGCTGTGCGAGCCCTCTGCCAGATCACTGATGTGAGTTCCTCCTGCCTCTGCCCACTTCCCAGGCTCTCAAGTGAGGCCTCGCCCCAGGCACACTCTGGGTTGCCTGCAGCACTCTGAATCAGGTGGAGCAGTGGGATGGGAGTGTCTCATAGGAGCTTCTGAAAATGCATGCTTTGCTCTACACCCCCACGGCTTCCATGCCTGAGCCCGCCTTCTCCCGCCACAGAGCACCATGCTGCAGGCTGTTGAGCGCTACATGAAACAAGCGATTGTGGACAAGGTACCCAGTGTCTCCAGCTCTGCCCTCGTGTCTTCCCTGGTATGTAGCTGTGACTGGGCCTGCAGGGGTGGGTTGAAGGTCGAATAAAATGTCTGAGAGTCTTGTTAGAAGAGAACCAGAAACTCTGGTCCATTGGGAAGCGCTGGGGTGAGTGACTTTGACCTCTTAGATGGCAGATTGGCGGGACTGGGATCCGGT